CCCCAAAACCCCAAAACCCCAAAACCCCAAAACCCCTTGTAAAAATTCAGTTGCAAATTAAGAATCTCAAAACATTTTTTAAATAAATATCTCACATATTTTTGTACTATATAAAATATGACACCGTAAAGCAGGCAAAGGTTATCACAATAAATGCAAATACAACTATGCCTGGGTTATATTCTGCTATTATAGGACTAAAGGCAACCAAAAATTAAGTAATAAAGCTTTAAATAACAAAGAATGTGGCAGCAAGCTCCTAAGGACAGCATTAATAAGCAGCATATAGAGTCGAATTCATGTTGGCAGCAACTCCAAACATGAGTAAAGCCAATAGTATTGCATTGGTTAGCTAAGATGGCCCTTAGAAATCGAATACTGAATACAGTACTGCGCTAAAGAATGATATTACATAGCATAAAAGGATTTAGCATCTAAGTCCCAGCAGTTTCATCATTAGTCCAGAAAAGCAATAGGCAAGAACTTCAAAGGAACCTATTAGAAAACCGTTCAAAAAAATATTTCCCTTTAGATTTGGAAGCAAATATGTAAATAATGAAAAACTGAAGGAGCTGAAAGCATGGCAGAATATTATTCCAATGGTATTCATCCTAAACTCCTTGTCACCCTTAAAAGCCTTAAGGAAATTAGTTCTGTCAAACACTCCATAGCCTTCTCTTAATATTTTTGATTAAGTCTCTATCGCTTATATTTCATGGCGAGTAGTATAGTTATCCTCTGTTTAAAAACTCTCCATATAAGTCTCATCGATCTCTATGTTCTGATCCTTAGCCTCGTCTTTAAATATTGCTTTAATTGTCCTACCCTAGTATTTCTGACCTAACTCCTCTAGAATCTCTCTTGCTTTCCTGTATTTCTTCATCATGTAAAAATATTTAGGTGATTCAGGTATATATTTTACAATCAAGTATATGGTCATGAAGGCGAAGATTATATTAAGAAAAAATAGCCAGAATTAGTTTTTAGAGAATTGTAGGAAAAACATAGCTCCTACTATCAATGCTACTCCCTTGCCAGAGTTAGAAATGATTATAGCTCCTGCTTGATATTTCTTTGGAATAAATTCTATTATATAGATCCAACCTTGAAGATTCAAAAGTCCTGAAGCAACTCCCAAAACAATCAAGCAGGCATACATCAAGTAAATGAACATGTCAAATCCTGGGATAAACATCATTATTCCGAGTACTCCACTACATACAAAGAGACCTACCAAAATAATGTTCTTCCTACCCTTGGTGTCGATCAAGTGAGAGAAAAAAATTAGGAAGAGAAAATGTCCAAATATCATGCATCCTCCAAAAAGCATAAACTACAATTTATTTGAGCAATATAGGTCGAATTTTGTCACCATGTTAGCAAGGCTAAAACTACTTGTCTAGTTCACACTAACTGTTATTCCTTCTTTTATTAGATAAGCTTCATTATCACAGAATTATTTTACAGAGCATACCTGTTGTGACTCAGCACCAGGGAATTAGCATAAAAATTCTGGCATCATTTTCAAAAATCCTATGTTCATGTGCACAAGCTGTCCTACAAACTTCAGTAGAAATATAGCAAGTAACCCGATTGCTTGTAGTTTCCCGAAGCCCCCTGACACTTTTGACAGGTACTAATTATATGTCAAAATTACATACTTCTTATCGTATCCAACAGACAGAAAATCTTCCTCCATTAAAGATGATGTTTCAGTTTTTCCCTTCAAGAGCTGAGTCTTTTCTTATTACTGTTGATTTTCAATCTCTTCCATTTAATAGTTTAATTTATTTATTATTTTTCACGATATATTGCTAAATATTGGATGATGGGGTTTTGGGGTTTTGGGGTTTTGGGG